GGAGTCCAACCACATCGAATTTGAGATAGTTAACTATCAAATGTAATGGAAGATGGTCCCAGAATATTGCTGGTCGACTGAATTTGTAACATATAAATAATTGGATGATGGATCAATGGTCTAGAGGTTGAGTGTTCTCACATGATACTGAAGACCTTGGTCTCGATTCCCAATGTTTTTTGAGATTCTTAATAATGAAAAGCCATGTGCTAGGAATTAAAAATTATCCATCACTTCTTAACTTCCAGTGGTGGCCTATTTAAGATCAGTTGGTAATTTAAACTATGAAAATTCTCCAATACCTATAAACCCCCCTATATTGATTTATATAGAGAATAACCGTTACTTTATGTTAAAAACTACATTATTATTGAAAAATATATCAGTGAATATTTCATACAATTGATTGGTTAGTTCGGCTAAATGGGATAATTATGGCTTTGATAACAGCGCTTTACCATAAACTGATTTATACTAGATAACTTTTAAAACACTGATACTAAATAGTAGATAGTTTCTAGCAAGATATTCCATGAACTTAAATGATTGATTTGATTTTAACTAAAACACTTAATGATAATTAAGTTGCTTAATTGTCCTTGGTTAAATGATTTATGCAACTACTGATTTATAATGATGTTAATTATCAAGATAAAACAGAACAGATATTCTATGCCATTTTAGTTTTTAACTATTCTTCAATCTTTGATCAATACTTTATTTCAATTAGGACAATCTGTAAAGAAAACATTTAAACAAAATTTACGTTTAAAAAGACTTATCTTGAAATCTTATTATGTACGTTGAAACTCGATTCTTTTGACTTTTGGGCAAACCATATCTAATAAGTAAACGTATAAACTAGTCTCAACTAAACTGGATTATATATTTAGTCCTCTTTCATTTCCTTTGACTTTTGATGTAGACCTATGTGTTCAATCAACATTAAGTTGACAAGTGAACATATATATGTATTATGAAATAAGTCAATCCGATTTCTATGAATTTATCAAAAATAAACTACAAATAACGTGGTTATCACAATGAACTAATTTAACGTTGTTGGAATAACTGAAAAATATACATTTCCATATGACATAAGTGGATGCACATGAAGTAATCTGAATATATCACTTTAAGACGATTCTAAATCATTAAGTCATATATCTGAAGGTAGCAATCCGAGAAATAGAGGTCTGTACAGAAATAATAAAGTATGGTGGAGTAAATACAAAACCTTATACCCCCGAAGTCCTAATGACTGAATTGCTATAGTGTATAAAACACTTTACTGGTAATTGAAACTCATACATCTATAATACTGTTCATTGTGGTAGCCTGTTACATAACCATATACATAGGCTATGTAAATATGTATATATCGACGCTATTATTGTTTTTGACTCTTTTGAGGATCTCTTGTTAATTTCATCTTATCGTACTAATATGATCTTCCAACATTGACTGAAATGCATATAGGATGAAAAAGGCTTGTCCAGTGCATTGCATAGTCCAAAAAGTTGTTCTGTTTTTGGTGTTTAACCGTTAATTGAACTTGCATTCTACTGTGTCATTTTGTTGCCTTAAAATTAATATTACATGAATTTACTATCCGTAGTCAATAAATAAACCTGTAAATGAAAAAAGAACATATGATCTAACTGTGGGTTAATTTGCCAAAATACAAAAGAATTTGTGGAAAAGAACAATGTACTAAATGTATGTATTAAAGCGCTTATTGATGAAACTAAAACAGACGAAATGGACTAGAATTAAATGAGCAAAAATATAAGAAAAAACAAATCATGTGAAGATATGTATAAAGAACGATATGTCAGTTATAAAGTCTTAGATTTAGATATCAAAGCTCAATGAGCAGGTGACATTTCATTCACTTACTCGCAAAGCATCGTTTAAAAAAGTAGAAGATATAAAGAAGTTGCAAATATTCGATCATATATGTCTCCAAATCATTTCTCATGTACTGTAGAACAACTGAATATACATTGTTGAAACTAGATGGAAGGTATCATGCAGATATGGTAAATCGGTTGATAATCCTGTGAATCATCATCGGCTGAGGTACTTAATATATAAGTAATTTTTACCTGATCACCTGGAAGTTTATCTTAACTGGCACAGAAATAGCTTTGAATAGCAACGAGATGACTATCAAACCAAGACTTATCATCAGCTTGTAAAGTCAGTGACTGTTGAGTACAGACTACTCAGTCGGAGTCCCCGAGACAAGTGGTTGTATACTTTGAATGAGTTAGCCAATAATCAATTGCGATGACCAAAATGTATTTATTTTGATCACCCATTAGATATCAAGTTTCAATATTGTTTCATACCAAATATTTTTTGGATTGGTTCCTTATTTTCTTAACTTATTCCTTAATCTTTAGTCTTTCTCGCTATCATTGGTACTACTGTTATCTTCTATCTTTTGTTATTTATCTTACCAAGTTCATTTAATTGTGCTGTGATGTGGCAGTTTGGGGTGTGGTGCATTCATGTCAGTCTCTAGCTTGATTATGACTGACTAATAACAATAACAAATTTACTGAAGTAGGATTTATCACATGTTTACTAGCAAATTATATTTAGATAAATTTTCGGAAAATATGATTGGAAACCATGACCGACGGAGTCAACAATGTCGTAAATGACCCATCAAGAACATTTTATGCAGATTATTCCACATCACAGTATGAATTAAGTAGAAAAGCTGAAGTAATAGAATTTGGTTAAATAGTCAGGAAGTATGCAGTGTCGTATATGAGCACTGTAAGTAAATAATACTCTTCTTCAAGACTCTTTGATCTATCAGTAGTTGGTCACCCGGTATGAGCTTATTACAAAAAAATATTTCTTCTAATTAATTGAAAAATCTACTCATAAAATGTATAGTAGAAACAACTGAAGGCGACAAAAGTTCATGATAAATAAGTAATAAATTTCAAATTAAAAGTATTTATTTCAATCAGTTAACAAACACTGAATTGAAGAACTGGCTATCATATTTTTCAATAGTTGAATTCATGAGTCGATTTAAGCTAAACTGCCGTTGAAAACCTAGAACCAATGGATGGCCGTTTCGTTCCATCAGTGGGCATCTATGACCCCACACGCTAGATTCGAACCCAGGACCTTCGTTCTCGCGCGCAAATGCTTGACCTCCAGACCACAGAGCCGGCATTCAACGGTATTAATGTCTAATCCCAACCAGTTTTTATTTAAATTACTTCATGTAGGTTTTGTAACGCTTGTTTGTTTACTAGTTCACAGTGAATGGCATTGATAGACATTCAAATTTATTGATTTAACTGTGACTAGTCCATTTCCGGTAGTATCAAAATTTACATACTTTGGAATCATGTAAGATCGTTTCTACTCAGTTATGTTCAAATAAATTCAGTTTTTTCAATCAGACGTGTTTTGTGCATGCTTATTATAATCTCAGAAGTTGGTTCTTGAAACAATAGTAAACTGTGATTCACATAACTCATGAAAGAGGATAATAATCTGAAATATATGATATTGCTCACTACCCAGTGATTAATCAATTGGGAATAACGACTAATTACGGATAATTATGTTATACACCATCTAAAAACATGACCATGACTTTAATCAACTACATTCATGAATAATACGAACTGTACTGGGATAGAATGGTTAGCCATAAGATATCATTTATCGTCGAAGTGTTGATAATGTTCTGGTATCCCACTGAACAAATAGCACGCCAGATGCTAAATTAATACGAAAGAATTTTATATTCAACGGATCTCAAAAATATTACTAAGAATTATAATGAATGTCGACTTGAATAAATATCGTACTAAATCAAACAATGATATGCGGGTTTCTTTATTTACAATAAACATTTCAAAATCACATACTGGGAGAGTGATGGTTAGTTTCAACTTCTGAATTTTGAAACAAAACTTTTAGACTTTTATCGAACCTGATTAGATCAACAAGAATTTATAGAGTGTAGTGGCTGATCCTATGTTGAGTCCATATACCTTATCCTAGTTTCTGGACAAACCAACTTATTCATTCTTCTCAAGCTACATTCACTTATCAACCCTGACTGTTTTTATGTGAGCGTATGTGTGTATATCTTATCCTACACATCATATGTCTGTAGCTTATATTTTGTGACTATAAGTATTCGTTAACGCTTGATTAAACCGAGTTGGCTCACATCCTTCTACACCGCGCATCATTTCGCTTCGCTTCGTTCCTTTGATCATCTGCCTGGATCAATGAATGTACAAAAGATACATACTCGAAATTCTTTCTCGTATTTAACTTATTTTAACTCCGTTATCCATTAACGCAAGTTAAGTCGATAATTATGTACGAAGATAGTCAGGATTTATATCTTGATGACAATCATTCATAGGATCTAATTGGAGTCAGATATAGGGCCACTAAAAGATCTACACGTAATATCATTTAATTGTTTCATTTTCGTTATAAATAAAGGTAATTAGAGTTTAACTTTCCACTGTTTAGATGTTAACAGTATAAAATGTCACTGTAATTGTATTTTTCAAACAGATATTTTGCTGAAAAATATCTACTCATATTGTTAATCCTAGCATTGAACTCTTTAATACTGTACACTTACGATGCAACCAGAAATTGAGCCGAGAACTATTGGATCAGTTCGTGAAAGCTTAACCACTGGGTCGGGTTAAACTGTTGTAATTACAACTTCAGTCAGACGAGCGTACGGTGTGATTGGTGACAACTCTTCTATTCCCTACATATCTGACTGCATCAGTTATGATTACTCACTCCAACTATTGGAACACTTAAAATTAAATCACTAATGAGTTAACCGAAATCGTTTAGTTGAATGAGAGTTTTTGGGTAGTCGGTTTAATTTTTATGTTGTATTCGTCTTCTGATTTCTTAGCTCTGAATACTTGTTTTATTTTGTATTTGTTATACAGTGAATTGACCATCTTATATCTCGAATCATGATGACACTGGATGCCTGGAAATATTCTTTGCTGTTTCTATTGACAACCACCTACTACAATACAATAATCTCAGCTTTATTTTATCATGGTAAGAATTCAAATAATATATTTATTGTAGATTAGAGTTTGCAGTTTTTTTTACTGAGTAAAAATTGCATTGTTATCTTAATGAATTCTGCGACTTACAATTTCTTAAATAACTTACATCAACATGAACAGTTAACACAAAACTATTCTACCTATTTCATGCTTGATTTATCTTTAATCAAAGAAGTTCAAGTCCACTGATACAACTGGATATGTGTTGTTATGATGTCTTTCGAATGAAAGATTACTTTTTAGGCGATTTCATAGTGATACGTTTCTCTCCATATATATATAAAGTCATTTAAAGCAATATTCCTTTGTGATTTCATATCTAGATATTAAAACTTTATACATATTCATTCATCTTGTAGTAAGCAACGTTCCAAGTTACATGTTGTAAAATTTAAAATGAAAAGATAAGGTGTTGCTGTGTTTAAGTATACTATTTTAAGTCTATCTAGAATTGCACTGTATATCAGAACTCATGGAAAAATGATGATTTTAATTGAATACTGGTGCTTATAAGCAATGAATATAATTCATTGATTTTCACAGTTTTTCCACTTCTTAATCTACTCTGGCCATTAGTTGAGTAATGAAACAAGTTACTTTTGTTTAACTGAGACAGATTATCAGTAAGAGTTTGCAAAGATCATCTAATTTCATTGAGATCATGAACAAATCTAAGTTAGAACACCAGTGCTTCCAGGTTTGCAATAGTGATCCAATATTTAACCCGCCAGAAATTATTAAGATTACATGACAGGAAACTGAAGAAATGGTTTCTAAATATTTCTGATATAAAAACGGTTGATTGTTCAGTTTTAACCTATTTTGACATTGGGATCAGTTAAGTGAACATCTCTACCGATTTTAAAGTTTGAATTCAATCAAGATTTTTTTGAAATAGAACAAATAAGTGACGTCATCTCTAAAATACATTCCTTTTTTTGGAAAGTTAAGTATCGAGAGATATAAGTCATATGAACATGGGATTTAAAAAATACAAGATAAGTTCAATGACGACCTTGATTAATATGAATAGATATCTACCAAAACAATAGGGAAATAATGACTTAGTACAGCAATATTCCGGATTCTACATGTTTATTTATTCTACATCAAACTTGCTTGTGTTTATTACAATAAGTCCAAATAAACCGCTCATAAATTTCCCATAACCCATGTTACAGAATAAGCTAATATTTTTTATTCATCATTAAAATATTAGTTATCTATTACTGGAATTCTGATAAACCTTCCCAATAGATGGGTTTAAAACCAATTTTTTAAAGATTGTTCTCAGTAACTAACGCTAAATTGTTATGGAAAAAAACTCATTTAAACTCGAAATGCAGACCTAATAAATTGTTTGTAAACATTTATCCTACTTATAAATTATTTCAGTAGCTGAACAAAAGTGTTGTCATTAATAGACTCGGATTTTCATTATTATTAACAATAATTGGGACAACATGGACTGGGAGGAAGGAACGAAAATGGTGAGAGATTTGCAAACCTATGTGCCTTCAATAAACTGGTCATAGGTGGCACCGTATTCCCACACAAAAACATACACAAAGCCACTTGGATTTCACCGGATCACACTACACAGAATCAAATCGACCATATCTGAATCAATAAAAAATTCAGGAGGACGATGGAGGATGTGAGAACCAGAAGAGGAGCTGATATAGCATCCGATCATCATTTGCTGGTCGCCAAGATGAAACTAAAACACAAGAAGCACTGAACAACGGCACGGACAACATCACAAAAGTTCAACACGGCTTTTCTTCGAGATGCTGACAAACTCAACAAATTCAACATAGCCCTCAGCAACAGGTTCCAGGCCTTTCATGATCTACTCAATGGAGAGGGAACTACCATGGAGAACTGGAAAGGTATCAAAGAGGCAATCGTTTCAACGTGCCAAGAGGTTCTGGGCCAAAAGAAGCACCAGAAGGAGCATCAGAACCGACAAACGTAAGTATGTGGAAGATTTAGCAACGATAGCGGAAAAGGCTGCAAGAGAAGGAAAGATGAGACAACTGTATGATACAACAAAGAAACTTGCTGGAAATTACCGTAAGCCAGAAAGACCAGTGAAGAGCAAGGAAGGCAAAGTAATCACCGACATTGAAGAACAACGAAACAGGTGGGTAGAACACTTCAAAGAACTCTTGAATCGACCAGCTCCACTGAACCCACCCAACATCGAAGCAGCACCCACGAACCTCCCAACCGATGTTGGCCCACCAACAATTGAAGAGATCAGCATGGCCATTAGACAAGTCAAGAGTGGCAAAGCAGCGGGACCAGACAACATCCCGGCAGAGGCACTGAAAGCAAATGTAACAGCAACTGCCAAGATACTCCACATCCTCTTCAGTAAGATTTGGGACGAAGAACAAGTACCAACAGACTGGAAAAAGGATTTCTGATCAAGATACCAAAGAAAGGCGATCTCAGCAAGTGCGACAACTACAGGGGCATCACTCCTCTCTCAATACCAGGAAAAGTCTTCAACAGGGTGTTGTTAAACAGGATGAAGGATTCCGTGGACGCCCAACTTCGAGATCAACAAGCTGGATTTCGTAAGGATAGATCGTGCACAGATCAAATCGCAACTCTGCGGATCATTGTGGAACAATCAATCGAATGGAATTCATCACTCTACATCAACTTTATCGACTACGAGAAGGCATTTGATAGCGTGGACAGGACGACACTATGTAGGCTTCTTCGACACTACGGAGTGTTTGCTTGAGAAGATAGTAAATATCATACGGAACTCCTATGATGGACTAAACTGCCAAATCGTCCACGGAGGACAACTCACCGACTCGTTTCAAGTAAAGACCGGTGTTAGGCAAGGTTGCTTACTCTCACCCTTTCTCTTTCTCCTGGTCATCGACTGGATCATGAAGACGTCAACATCTGGAGGAAATCACGGGATACAGTGGACAGGCAGGATGCAGCTTGACGATTTAGACTTCGCGGATGATCTGGCTCTTCTATCACAAACGCAACAACAAATGCAGGAGAAAACGACCAGTGTAGCAGCAGTAGGTCTCAATATAAACAAAGAGAAAAGCAAGACTCTCCGATACAATACAATATGCACCAATCAAATTACACTTAACGGAGAAGCTTTGGAGGATGTGGAAACCTTTACATATCTGGGCAGCATCATTGATGAACACGGTGGATCAGATGCAGATGTGAGGGCGCGGATCGGCAAAGCAAGAGCAGCATACCTACAACTGAAAAGCATCTGGAGCTCAAAACAATTGTCAACCAACACCAAGGTTAGAATTTTCAATACAAATGTCAAGACAGTTCTACTGTATGGAGCGGAGACGTGGAGAACTACGAAAGCCATTATCCAGAAGATACAAGTGTTCATCAACAGCTGTCTACGGAAAATACTTCGGATCCGATGGCCAGACACTATCAGCAATAAGTTACTGTGGGAGACAACAAACCAGATTCCAGCATAGGAAGAAATCAGTAAGAAGCGCTGGAAGTGGATTGGGCACACCTTGAGGAAATCAACTAATTGCGTCACAAGACAAGCCCTCACATGGAATCCTGAAGGTCAACGGAAAAGAGGAAGACCAAAGAACACATTACGCCGAGAAATGTAGACAGACATGAGAAGAATAAACAAGAACTGGATAGAACTAGAAAAGGGAGCCCAGGACAGAGTGGGTTGGAGAAAGCTGGTCGGCGGCCTATGCTCCATTGGGAGTAACAGGCGTAAGTAAGTAAGTAAGTAAGTAACAATAATTGATGATTTTCAGTCTGTTGTTTTGGAGATTGTTCAATCACACTGAAAACACGAACTGGTCTGGTTGATGAACCACTGAAAAACTGAAATCACGGGACGAGTGCTTGGTCTTAGTTTTAGATTATACAGTAGTGCTAACTCGTAGTTCTAGGTTGGATCAGTCCACTTATGCCAGTGTTCTACAATTAAAATGGTATGGTTGATATTTAGACGGAACCCATGAGTCATATTTTAAATCTATAGTGAATTTATGAAGTAAATCAACTATCAAATAATATCACCGTGAATTAGCTTGCACCACTCACTCGATGGTTTTTCATGTGTTAACTCCGAATGAATGTCTATAATATTCCAGAGTGAATTTTATATATTCGTATTCATTCTTACAAACAACACACTGAATACTTCGCCCGATATTTATATCCAGGTACTATTGTAGTATCGTAAGTGCAAATTACTACCGGTATTTTGCAGAGGCTGTTTCTTTCAGGTGCAAAAATAGTAAATTATCAGTTAAGTATTATTTCAAACAGTCGGTTATTATATACCCGCGTAAATTTCGCGGAGAAAAAATCCCACAAAATATATCGTGTAAAAATGTTTTATGTTTCCAGGGTTAGTTTTATCATATGCTAACATCGGTTACAAAATCAATGAAATCCACTGAACGCAGGATGGCTTTTATTATTTTTTCTAAATAACAGCATTCAAAACGTTCGATCATCATTCCGACTACTCACACCATAAACAGGATATTACTTAAACATTTAAATTTGAATCCAGAAGTCACTTATATTGATTTCATTCAATTTGAGGTATATTCAAAGTCGTCATCAACGTTCAATGATACTTATTTTAAAATAGTTCTTTTGCAGGTGTCATTTCATGATAAAAATGGTCAGTAAACAAGGTTTCACTTATTTATTATGAGATTTTTAAGCCATCAGAAGGCACCATACTATATCTTGACATTAATTAAGCTTATGTTCAGTGAGATTGTTTGTATTGATGAAACAACAGATAAGACTCGATCTATAGGTTTCATTGAATTTTTCGTCATGTATGGAACAAAACATACTCATTCAAGCCAATCAATAGACAGTTTAGCTCTGTCTTATTGAAATTTGAGAATTCCATAGTACTCAGTAAGGTGAAACATGACTTAGGTATTCGAAAATAGGCGATAATCGAATTTCAAATGCATTGGT